ATCTCGAAATGAAAATGAACGTGGCAAAAATAGCTTGGCGGACCGGCCGCCAGCGGAACCACATATCATCAAACGAGAAAGCAAAACGGGCGGACCGGCCGCCGGCGGAAAAACCGCCCCATGAGGCGGACCGGCCGCCAGCGGAGACACCGCTATAGAAACGATTATCGCACAACAAAATTCAATCGAGTCAATCAGTGCAAAAAATGCTCCGGCTCCATCGAGCCAAGCGTGCGAAGCAGCGCGAACAAACAGCGTAAACTGCATGCGCGCGCGCCTGCCCTGCTGCGTTGAGTCACACGAAAATGTGTGCTTTCCAGCGCGTAATGCTTCATCACAGCCATGCTTCAAAACGCATGTGTTTGCCAACTCAATGAACTTAGAATGAACTTAGCGGACTTAGAAAAGCGTCTTTCTAAGTTCAAGATAAGTTACTTATAAGTCCAAGCTAAGTGCTAAGTCACTTATAACTCCAGCGTAAGTACGGCCCTATCCCAGTAGTCGCCTTAGAGAAGCTGCGGCGAGGGCGTTGGTGTGCGGCTTCTTCTCGGCACTGCCGACAAACGTCAATCCCAAGATTGCACCAATGGTGCAGTCATCGTCGCCCCGGCGAGCTTCAAGAATCCAAGTTCTTAAGAGATAGCTTCGCTCCACTTCTTCGCGAGTTCAGAGTTCCCATCAAAACCCTCGCGGTTTAGCGTTCGCTCAACCTGCTTGGCCCTCTTCATTTGAGGGATGGCGTGCGCCTCAGCATCGCCCTGTTCCTGTACCAGTGTGACGGAAGACGATGATGCGCGGCTCTGTCATCTGGTGTTGTTGTCCTACCTGACCAGGGACTTGCAGTTTACCTCTCCAGCTGTTTCGCTGTCAGCAAGATCGTTTGTCATGAAGTCCCAAGTCACGGACGTGTTCTTGTTTGCGTATTCTCTGCTTGCATCCTCCACAGAATTCGTTCCAGGTCATAGGAAAGGTTGGAGGCGACAGCGTTGAAGAAATCTGCGCAAACGATGATAGCGCTGCAACCCCCTCTCCTGAGGCCAGCGCAAGCAACTGGGCAGTGTTGTTCTATCCACTCCAGAAAAACCATTCTTATGTCCTTGGCGGAGGCTTCGACCCTGGAAACAAGCGTCGCGCAGAATGATACCCCAGCCTTCACCTTCACGGTTGCCGCAAACAGGAACTTGCTGCAGCTGACGCCCCGTCAGAGCGAATCCTTTCTCCGCGCGTGTAGGCAAAAGAGGAGCGCGAAGACCAACCGGAACTACGCGTGTGTGTGCCAGGGAAGCCCAGGAAGAATGCCGGAAAAATGCCGTAGAAAAGCCGCGCGTTTGTTCTGATCGAGACGCTTGCTCTGCAAAGTGGCCCTCTTAGTGTTCGTTGAGCCACGATCTGCTCGGCGACGCTGGTCGGGTATTAGACGCAGAAAACGTGGTCGCCAAAGACACCAAGCAGTTGCCGTCTCAAATAGTCTCTTGAAGAGTAGGGGGCAGCAACGTGTCTACCGTGGGAGGGGCTCTGCCCATGGTTGCCGTGCGCCATTCTGGAAAGGGAGCCTCCCAAGGCAAAGTCCCAAGACTCATTGACTTCTTGCTAAAGGCTTCTTTTCGTACCTGTGCGGTGGTGCTCCTAGACGCTCCAGTCGTGTCCTTTGCGCAACGCTTCTACAAACGAAGCCGTCTGATGCCGCGTGTTGAAAGTCATGCGCTTTGGTGAGAAACATGATGCGATTTTGCCGAGGATGTGATGTGATTTGTGGCAAAGGGATGCATTTTGCCAGCGCCCGTTGTCAACAGCGACGTCTGATGCGGTTTGATTGAAAATGGTGCCCTGCCGTTGCAGCGTTCAGGCATCTGCGTGAGGTGCCGGTTGTCCACGCACCAGCCAAGGTAGAGACTTTTCTTCGCCCATGCTGAAATTGCAACGCACACAGTTCCAAAAAGCCCCATCGCCTAACTGTCCGCCACCCGTAGTTTCTAGGAACGACGCCGTCTCATGCTTCTTGTTGAAAATGGCGGGAACTCAGCGGGGTTTACTTGTAGGGCTGCCGCTTGTGCAAAAAGGTGTCCAGCGTGCGTCGTTGGATTGTCTACCTAGGAATGTTTGCCTGGCATGCTTCTCCGCAATGATGCCGTGTGAGATCGCCACGTGGGCGTCCTTGCTCTTCCGTTTAGCTTTTCAAGTTACACCAGAAAACCTCGCAAGTTGCAGACAGATCAAAGGCTCCTTGATCGATGAGCCACTTCCATTCGTTGTTCATGGACCGCATCGCTGTGGGATTGGAGGGCATCTTGGCCAAACCAGCAGGCCTTGCAACCATAGCGCTTGAACACCTCCCTGTGACTCAACACAGCAGGAGTGGGCGTCTTTGGTACTTTGTTTAGTTCCCTCACGGCTGGCGAAGCGCTGCAGGGATATTTGCTTGCTTTGCCAGCCGCAAGATCTTCCCACTCATAGACTGAGCATAGGTTCCCCGCCACTTCCGGATCGCGTTGCAGCCCGTCAGGTCTGTTTGGCTGGACTCCTTGCAAGCGCTTGCGCTCCATATTGTTAGTTGCCTCGATGACCTTTGCCCACCGGAATGGTTTGCACGACTGTTTCAAGCAGTTGGGCGAAGGCGTGCCGCCGCCGCGCGCGGTCGCCGCGATGAGGGGGCGCGCGCAGTTCAACCGCTGGCAACTTGAGCGAGTCGTGGCAATGATGAGTGACGACAAACTGTCCCGCTGCCACGGGACGCATGTTGCTCAAGGGCGGGGCATCGGATGTGGCGTTCCGCAAGGCAAACCTTTTCTAAACATGGCGGGCGTTCGGCTGTCTTCTACTTTGAAGCCATGCTCGCAACTGGCAGAAGCTTGTCCTTTCCGTCAAAGCCGTGCAAATCAGGGGGGTCCCGCCAGTCGTTTGCCATTGGGCTGGCAGGTGCGTAGACCAACGAATTGAACCACTCTGGCTTGTTCTAGCACATCGATCTTCCTGTTGACTGCGTGCTCATTCTCCCGTGGGACTGGCGCGTCAGGCTCCTCGCCAAGGTCCAGTTTCTATCGATCTCTGCGTTGAAGGTTTCCTCATCTCCTGGCTCCACAGCTACCCTTGCTGCGATCTACTTGAACGACTCTTTTCCTGCAGTAGATTACGATTGTGCCACTCTTGAGCTCAAGTCCAGTGCGGGTGTGATGGGTGCGGGGGCGGGTGCGGGTGTGTGGATGTGGGTGTGGGTGTGGGTCGGGTGTGGGGGTGCGGGTGTGGGTGTGGGCGTGCGTGCAGGTGTGGGAGAACAGCATCATGCGCGAGCAAATGCGGAAACGCACTACCGCACAAACGCACAACCGAGCAACAGGCGCATAACTGTGGTACAGAGTTCCGCAAACGCACACACACACACACACACGTACACACGTACACACGTACACACGTACACACGTACACACGTACACACGTACACACGTACACACGTACACACGTACACACGTACACACGTACACGTACACCCGTACACACGTACACACGTACACACGTACACACGTACACACGTACACACGTACACACGTACACACACGGACACACGGACACACGGACACACGGACACACGGACACACGGACACACGTACACACGTACACACG